CATACCACAAAGACATGCAGCAAATTAGCAAAATAAGAGGGTGGGGAAAAAAAAATGTTGGGGAATTTTTGTTTAAAAAAAGAAAAAACTACTGACCATAATCGGTACTGGCATTCACAAGCAGAACATAATACTCTAAAAGCTAAACGGAATAAGCTACAGAAAATATACAACAATATATTCAATAATTTGATAGACTAGAAATGCTGAGTATTCACCATTACTAAATCAAATAAGGCAACTCTCGCAGAGAAGAGCAATTTGCTCCATTAGATACAAAAACAATCTAATGCAGTGTTTTGCAGTTATCAGAATCTTTCTATCCTCAGATGAACGCTTACATTTCCGGGCAGCCAGCACATCGCATGAAGACAGTTTGATCATCTATGCGCTTTGTCCTCATCTCACAGAGCAGTATATAATGGCCATTTTTCAATCTTCATTCTAATTGACGGTCTTGCAGAAGAATAAATGATGTGGCAAAAACAGACTCAGGATGCAGCTACTGACAATTTGATTTGCCCAGGATTAGTAACACCAATTACCTTCTGACTTCACCAAAATATAACAGACACTTTTCACTGAAATTGTAACTTCCCAAACTACAGACACAGCCGACTGGCACTGGATTGAAATCTCAACAGCCGCAGCAGTTATTATAAATTGCTTAACTTTAATCGTATTGCCATGCAAATAAAGCTAATGACGGGTTTTATGAATGCTAATGAGGATATATTAGTGAGGACGATGACTACCTGAGGGAAATCCTGACAAATGGTAATGTTACCTCTCGTTATTACACCGTCTTTGTACCTCAGGTGATGGCACACAGTATGAACATAAAGCAGAATGATATGCAGATGATCATATGTAAGGCAGGGATCAAGTATGTGGCATTACTTAATGTTCTGTTCTATAAATGACCCGGCTCTCCTGCTGGGATCAGTGGCTGGCATTGCGCCGCTGTCACCACCAGCGTCTCTCCGACCCACGCATGTCTGAGCATGGGGGCCTCTCCTCAAAAGTCAAATGTCAGATGTTATCCATCCCCACTCAGAGAGGAGGACCCACCATCGGGGGCCCGGCTTCTTCCCCAGCGACGGAAAAACACCATTACTGAGCATGTTTCGCTTTGGAGCATGCTGGTTGTCATGATCGCACCATGACGACCATATTACTAACTGTGGATTTATTTCATATATAACTGAGGGTTGCTTTGGTACAAACATGCAGAGAAAGATTTCCACATTCAGTCGTACAAAAAAAAATGTATTGGCAATATTTATATTTTCAAAGAAAATACAAATGTTAAATAGTAATAGAAAAAATGCAATAATACCATTTTGATTGCTTTTCAAGCAAAAGTGTGGGGAAACAGTTTTTTTATCTGGTTTTCCTGATTAGATTTAGTATTAAACTAACTATTTTGGGGGTTTTGGATTGTGAATAAAAAATTTGGTTTGGTCTGAAATTATTTTCTTAATTTTATACTGTATTCTGACAATTCATGGACCAAAGATTAATTGACAACAAAGCTGAAATAATGAGTCAACTAATCCATTAGGCAATTGACAGAATAATGTTTCAATAATCGATTAATTGTTGAAATAATTGTTTTATGTGAGAATCCTCCAAATGTTGCATCAATATAGAGATTTGCTGATTTATATCATATTAAAGTGAAACAAGACACTAATAGACATCACTTTGGAGAAAGTTGGATGGAAATGTTTCACTATTGTCATACAATTTATAAAACTAATGATTCATCAATTCATCTAGGAAAGTAAAAGAAAAAGACAAAAGACGTCATGATATCAGGATTGTCGCTTGGGTAACTTAATCCTAGTTTAAACGTTGTTTAGCCAGATGCAACAGTCAACAGCGGTGTGAGCAGCCTTTCATTAAATCACTGGCTAACATGCACCTGATGGAGCTCATTAAACAGAACGGCTTCATGTTCCAAATTGCTCATATTTCAGCTTCAATCCATCTTTCTGAAAAGTACGCAATTTCTCCTGCCTCAGCCGATTACACTCTTATGAGTAATTACTCTGCGGCAGAGGCTTTCAGCGGCATTATGATAATGTTTCTGAAAACAGGTGGATGCAAAGCACTTAAGTTGGACTGACACCCTGTAGCAGGGCAAACTAGGCAGCTGAAAACAAATGACTTCACACCTATAGCCTGCAGTTATTTTGGAGAGGTGCTTTGTACACAGCCAGCGTCTGTGTTGTCATAATACTGATGCATTACCAAAACACAGACTTCTCCAAACTGTAACGAGTTACTTTGCTGATCTCAACATCAGGTTGGAGATTGAGCCCTAGAATCTGAGCTCTCAAGATTCCCTGACAGTGTCTCTAAATGGTAAATCGATTCTTTTTAACCTGATTAAGCCAATAGCAGAGCTTCCCTGAGTGTAGAGCAGAGAATACAGTCAGGAGGTGCAGTACGATGGCATCTCCTCAGCGTGACAAAGGGAAAAGTAGCTTCAGATCCAACACGACCGGCCAAGTCTCCCAGTGATAATGTTAAATCTCTTAAAAAACCCATACTTGTCAAATCTATTTTTCATTAGCCTTCAAGTTGGTGGAGACTGTAGGGGGATGATCTCTTGAAATATTCATCACAGAAGAGACCTGCTGTGACTCTGAACCCCTTTTCCTGAGCAAAATGTAGCCACAACACAACTGGTTAGCTGTGGACTTGCTACAGAGAAGACTTGTCATTTAGTTGAACATTAATTCAGTTTCAAATGGCACTAGCTAATGAAATCAATGATAAATATGTGATACAGCGCGAGGCAGAGCTCAGGCTTGTCTTTAATAAAGTCAATGATTCCAGTCATGGGCTTTTGAACACTGTAGCGCTGCCTTTCTCAGCAGAATATTGATGTTTAATGGTCAATGATCTAATCATTTCAACTGGTTGAACCTTTGCATCTGAGCCTGAATACAATTACTCAACGATTCCCTCCACAAACTGATGGCTGCACATGCCTGTTGTGGTGTACTGGAGGGGGCGAGGATAATGCATTGCAACTAGTGCTGCTGGATGACAACCAGCAAGCATAAAAACACATTCTGTCATGTTAAATCTAACTAAGGGAAGGCTTTGGGTTTGCCTTCCAGCATAATAAATTGGAAGGACATATAGTGCTCATATTCTAACAGACATTGGCTTTAACACTGCAACTTTAAGTGTGCTGCGTTTTGTGTCAACATAAGATGACATGAAACTGGGCAGGCTGCACTGCTCCTGCTGAGGGGTAGGTCCACTTGATTATGATCTTTACTGCATTATTATGGTACACTGCAAAGGTGGAATGTCAGACCTGTAAAATGCACAGGCAGGAAGAAGCAGCACATATGGCATGAACACTGAAGGCACACGATAGCTCCATCATACTACGTTATAGGCAACATCCAGCAGTATTATGCAATGGTAAAAAAAGAAAAGAAGGAGCCCTGGTAAAAAGTATGCTTGGTGATGCATGAGGGGAAATCGCCCAGAGGTTTGAATGCACTGTTTGTGCCATATCTGCATGCATACTGTAACGCTGTGAGGAACCAAACGAGCATGCATCTGGCAAACTGCTGGCTCAATAATGAAAACAGTGCATGTACAGACAAGCGGACAGCCAGAATGTGACACATTTCTAGAAAAAATATTGCTCTGGTCCACAAAGTGGAGTTAGCCTCACTTCCTAGTTTACTGCTGCTGTCATAGCTCGGCTAACACCCTTCTTCCTCCATGGCCAGCAAACAATTTTCGTCTACATTTCTGCTGCTGCTACGAGCGTGAATTCTTCAAGTGCTGCTCAGAGCTGTGGCATGAAAAATGACACTTACATTTCACCACCCCTGTCCGTCGTAGATAACTTCGGTTCATCATTCGGCTTGTTTTCGGACATTTCCAGTGTGGTATAATATTGAGATATAGCAGAAATGAGAAAACGGTCCCTGCGTTGCTCCTGCCGAACAACTCTTGAGTCTATCCGAGAAAAGAGACCGCAGTGATCTCACTCGGTCCTGTCAGCGGCCAAAAATACTTGCAACAGGGTTACAATTTCACTGCTGGTGCTGTAGGAGCTGCTCTGTCTGATTTACTGTTACTCTGTATCAAGTTGTCTGAGCGCAGTGTGCAGTCAAACATGCTAACCCGCAGGACCCGCCCCAAATCACAGCGACGATTTATATTGGCGGAGAGCTGCAACTGTACATTCACTTTCATCGAAGGGCTGTGTTCTGTGTCAGTCTGGCCTTGAGTGAATAACTGTATTAATAACTTGTATAATATTTGTAGCTGGGTAAGCATAATACATATGAATCAACAATGCTAAACCAAATAACGTGTTTACTGTAATATGTCCACAAAAGCAGATACTATATTACATTAAGCACAACATGGTCTATGTATTTGGAACTAGGAAATATATGGAAGCCTATTTTGTCCAGAAAAAAACTGATGAAAGTGAAAACAGAGGATAATTAGGAATAGAAATACAGCAGAAAATCTCGGTAAAAGGGGAGAAAAAGCGGCTGACATGTGACAAACAGATTCAAATGAAGGAAAGGATCAAGCCATAGTTTATTGCTGCATCCAATCCATTTTCTTTCAAAGCATATATATTACAGCAATACACTCTTATGAACATTTATTTAAATGTGCCATTGTAAGCCAGTTGGTTGATTTTTCAACTGCAGTTTTTTGGCAAGACCTTCTTTGATCAATGAACATTTAGCTTTAAGCTGAATTATGTCAAGTTTATTAGATATATAGTAACATTATGAGATACACAGCCACAATCTATAAAACCTAAATATTTTTCAGATAATTAGACGAGATGAAAAGGCAAAACTTTGAGATACTAACTAAAAATCCTAAGAATACAAATACTAAATAATGACATGGTAAATAAAATATCTTTTTAAATGTTTGCCATAACTGACCTGTCTTTTACTGGTCAAAATCGACTTATGTAGATCAGGCTGCCACAAACTTTATAAATATTTTATCCAATCTTAGCGAGCTATGCACCTCTAATTAAAAAGGAACCTTTCCATGAAATCTGCTAATTTCTGTTCATAGTTCCCAGAGGATGAATCCTGAGAGTTTCAGTGACCTGCTGTTCTTTCTCATTTGAATTCTCAAATACTTTTCCTCTAGTGCCCCCCTCAGGACCAGAGGTGCAGTGTCAGTCCTGCTTACAGTGATGATGATAACGTATCTCACTCACTGAGGTCAAGTTGCACTCACTGCAGATCCAGAAGAGGGTTTAGCTTCCTGTCTTTGGGGTTAGATCAGAGTAGGCAAAGAGAAAATGTGAGTGAGTGGAAGTGTGTGGATGTGAGTCATCACCAGGTACATTCGCCTGAAGGAGACCTCAGCTTACAACCCGCTCATTTTCTCCACAGTGGTGCAATTCAGTTAACCCACTGCTGCCCAAAGGCAATAAATGGTGGCAAACGGCTATTAGCGACACGCTGGTGTGGTATGAGTCAGTTGTTCGACAGGTGGAGGCAGTTAATGAAACTCCGACTTTAACATTTCTCTCAATGAGGGAGAGTGTGGGTATGCATATAGGTCAGAACATCCTACAGTCTTTGTATCTGCCTGTGCTAAGACATTCACACCAGATCATTAGTTTTAACATTCCTCATGCTCTGCACTCTTTTGCTGTGCAGACTTAATTAAACTCGGGCAAGTCTGTGACTCAAGTTTTTCCTCCTACTGATCACCTGTCACCAGCGACCTTTGTGTTTATTATTTGCTGTTTTTTGCTCACATGAAGACCTACTCTGTATTTTAAATGCCATGGAATAAAATAATAAGCTATGGTTGTCTTTATTTGTTATCTTGGGTGTGTCATTTCAGTTTCAATTTCAGTGTAGCATTGCAGTATAATGAGGAAAGAAATCCCCACCAAACTTCATAATTATACAAACAGAGACCTTTTTAAACCACGTATGCCAACCTTTGCAGTTAATAAACATTATTTAGACATTCTTTAAATGACTAGACATTTATAACTCATCGTTTTGCATAGCAACATGTTGAAAGCAAAACTAAACTTGGATGACAAGCTTTTGATGTCCAAACCGCATAATCAGTTTTGGGGATTTTCCATCACATGCAGTACATTTAATTCCACTGATTAAATTACTTAGGATCGCTGCCATGGAACTAGTGCTGCAGTAAAGTTTGAATAACAAAGGCTGACATCCAAACTTCTTCCTTGTACCAGACCAGAGAACAGGCTCGATGTTAGTTTAAATGAGGCTTTGTTTCTATGTGTATAAAGGTGTAGCAGGAAACTCCCTCTTATCAGTGCTCCTCCTGACAATAGCAGACTGTTCCCCCTGTCAGTGTGAAGGAAGACCTGCAGACAAACAGTGCTGAGCCATGAGCCACGCAGGTAAGCTGTCCCTTTGAATTATTTATTTATTCATTTATTACATTTACTGCCGTAATGAAAATGATCCATTGCTTTAATATGAGCGTTGCTGATTTATGATGGTCTGCAATGCTCAGAGCAACATATTGATGGGCACAATACATCTTGGAACAATATTAAAAACATTGAAAAATGTTGTTTTTGTATTATTTCAATATCAAAGCAAAATTGGTTATGACGGTTAAGCCGTTTCACTGTTTCTCACATACAAACAGTAGGTTACATTAAATATGCTACAAAAAAGTGATAGCAAAAAGTATTTTCTGTAAATCTGTACTTTTTTTCATAATATACTTGAGAGATATGATTCAATCTATCTACTGCATGTGTTCTATCAATTTGAAGGCGATCTTTTTATAATTTTAAAACTTATATTGTTATGTTGTATTTTCCATTGATTGTTTGACTTCAGTAGAGCCTGCCTGCAAAAGCGTTTCTCATGATTGTGCTGGAACAACCTGAGAGACAAATATCTTGACTGTTGAATCCACTTATCTCGTAGTTGAGCAGCTGTTGATCATCTATGAGTGTGAGGCACAGCAATGGGCCACATATCTGCGTTCCCTCTTCACCGGTTCCCTCTCAGAGGCTTCCATCTGCTCCTACGACATCGCCACTGTGTCCAGCCGGCAGGACGACTTCCTCCGCCTGTCCCAGTACTCCTGCAAGCTCCTCATCCTCTCCAAGGGCATGCTGGAGGGGCTGTGTCCGAAGCGCCGTTTCTTCCTGGCCCGTGTGTTGTGTCCTGCGACTGCTGTGGTGGTGCTCCTGTGTGGGGTGGAGAGCCTGGCCCCCCTGCTGGAGCAGGTCCCTCTGAACGGAGACGATTGCCTGCAGGTCTCCAGTGAACAAGATGTTCACGAGTACCTGTCCGCTGTCACTGATATTGTGAAAAAAGGTAGGGCAATGGCTCTGAAAAGTTTTTGACTGACTAGCTGTAAGGGGAGATACTACAGGTTTACATTTTAACTAATAGATATCCTCATGAAACTTTGCCAGTTGATTATTTATATTAAGATAACAATAATATAAGCATCTAAATGTGTAATTGAATATTTTCGATCGATTTGAAGACATGCCCTAACTCGCAAATTGACCAATGCATACAAAACTGTCTCATCATAATAAGATTTTGTCTTGAGAGGAATTCTGCCTTGCATATGATTGTGTATTGGACTTACTTCAAAAAAGGAAGGTAAAAGTGCAAAAGATAAATGCCCTTTCATTTGACTTAAGGTTACTTGATTGCAAATTCAGATTGTTTTATTTTCCCCACATATCTTATTTAGGTATTATTTTACCCAGTTAAATGTAATGACCATTATAGCCAAATGAATTCAGGAATTTTACATTCAAATATCCTAACAGCATGCAGTAAAACTGTAATTTAGGCACAATTTGCATCCGTACAAAGCCAGAAAAAAGGAAACCTTTAGGAATATTTGTACACAGCCGCACCATTCCCTGCTATAAATGCGATGGGAAAACAATCCTCATTATTTGTGAGAATGTCCCAGCAGCAGCTAGGAAACCTGTTTACTGACTTTTTTTACACACTGTTTAGATTGGCATTCATATTTTTAAAGCACCAGCCGCACAGACTAAGCATCTCCAGCATGTCCCTTCCACCCGGCCAATTATCCCCGGCCTTTTCCCTGTTTTTCCTAATTGCAGTATTTGTATAAACTCATAACGCTGAGGAGGGAGGGGGGGGGGGGGGGGGGGGGGGGGGGGGGGGGGGGGCTTCTATTTGAACAGGTGCATGTGCAGGAGGAACATCTGATGCAAATAGTCTCTCTTTCCTCTTTGGCCATCACTGTTACTCTTCGTGAGCCATGCAAATTCAAGTGCACTCTGCGTCACTTCATTGCACTGATACAGTGAAAGTGCTTCAGGCCAGGATCCCACAGACGGTTATATTTTAACCCAGAAGTACCCTCCCTATTCACACAGGATGATGCCGTTTGCTTGTTAGCACACAACAGACATGTGGGTGTTTGAGTGTAAACAGGTGGAGATCTGTGCACTTCATCACTGCAAGAGGCGCTACACCAACAGAAACAATACTATTATTAGTATCATTTTATTTGACTCACTCAAATGTTAATTATAAAAGAGTTTTGGATTTAACGTAAATAACCTTATTTAGTTTTAAACTTGGTTTGTTTTGTTCTTGTTTTAATCAAATAATTAGCTTTAGATTGTAATTATTCTCGAGGTTTTGTTATTATTTAATAATAATAATAATAATAATACTGTAGGGCTACTGAGAAACAAAAGTGTGTTGAGCTAAGGCTAACACATAGAATGCAGTAGCAATACGAATTTTAGCACGCAAGCAAGTATGATGTTTACAATGTTATAATGCTTAGTAGGTGATATGTTAACTATTTTAAAATGTTATAATGCTTAGCAGGTGATATGTTAACTATTTTAATCTGACTTTAGCTTGTGCAATGTCATTTGTTTTTCAAGTACAAATAAACCATTCAAATGTTGACCTGATAACTGTGCTAGATAACAAAGTTAAGGGATTAGTTAGTGCACTTCATCCTGAGGAGGAATTTAACTTTGATATGCTCCTTCATGTTGCTAGCATGCCTCAAAATAGACCTGGCTAGCTTATGGTATCTGAAACCCATTTTGTACAATTCACAAGTAGTGCATAATCAATTGTGATGTTCAATGTCCCATCTTTTGTAGGTGCATTAGCTTCAGCTGCAAATGTCAAACCCCTGATACGTGGGCTATCAGAGCGAAAGGCTGCAGCCCGCAGTGTCAGGTCCATGGCTGTTGTTCCCTCCAGAGTTCCCTGTGGGGTGAGGCTTTCAGGCAGTAGTAAGCCATTATTTTTTTCATAAAGCATCCCTAAAATTGACTGCACTGCAGTTCACTGTACTGTCTCTTTGGCAGAGCTCCATGGAAGTGTTCATTCTTTTGAAAAATGAGTCGGCTGGCAGCGACGCTGAGGTTGAGTTCACCGCTGACAATCAGAGGCTGAGAGTGAAGCCCGTCTGCTGGAATGAACGGATCCTCTGTGTCAATGCACCAGGTATACACGCACCATGACATAATGAGTGTACAATCAAATCTACAGTGTGTTTTTGGCTTTTCTGTGTTAAGTTTCTTCATGTTTTCTGTTGCAGATTTTCCAGCAGGACATGTGAGAGTGACTGTGTATAGCAATGGGGTGCCACTGAGCAAGGCACAGCTGCATACTACAGCAACATGGAGGAAATAACCCTGCCTTCTGGCAGAGGGCAGCAGACCCTGTAGATTTCATGTGTCAGGTAAAGCCATTAAAGGGCTGTTTCAAAAGCACCAGGCAGGGAGGGGCAAACAAATAAATCAGCCTGGTCTCAGTCCCGAAGCGTCCAATACAGCAGCCTGGTCAGCGGCCCTATGTTTCAAAAAATGTCTGTAACTATGGCTGGGGCAGAGAGGAATCAGATGATGTATCATAAAGAGCGAAAAGTCGCTTAACAGAGAGGTGTATGGTGGATGGATGGGTGAAAAGCACAGGACTTTTAGACAGAAGGCTGCTATTTGTAAGGTTAACGTGTACATTTTTTACTTATGTGCATGAGTGAAATGATGTAATGACTGTACATACCTAGAGTTTGCAAAAAAAGAAAAGCCCAAACACTTTTTTCTAAACCTAATAAAGCAGTTTTGTTAGTGGGAAGTTATTTTGAAAAGACACTGTTTGCATAAATGGAGGAACACTTTTATAGAAGGTATTCAAATTATGAAGATGTACATTAATATTTCTAAATCTTATGTATGCAATATTACTCTGTAACAAGTAATATTACCATTTTTTTTTTTTTAACAAGCAGTGTGCATACCTCAGTTTTAAAGCTCTAACACTTGCAAATATATTCAAATAAGTCTATCAACCATTGATTTTGTTACGCAGGAAACACATTTGAATGCTGCTCTATTCTCTCCCTTCTGAGGAAAGCGCCTCTTCTGAGGCACTCTGAATGTGTTATAGTGACTCATCGTTATGCAACGCATTTATAGAAATTAGGCAATGGCCGCCCTAAAACGCTGCTTATAATCAATCCACTTCAAGCCATTAGAAAGTAACAGAAAATTAATTGGATGCGCATATTTCTGCTGATGTTTATGTACGCCACTGTTTACTGCCTCCTCTCTGGAAATGAAAGGGCAGGTCTCTTTCTGCCATGAACACTTCATTTGATTATGGTCTCTTTTGCTGAAGAGGCAAACATGAGCAATGCCAAAATAAGAATTGGCCAAGAGGATTTCAAACTAAAAGCCTGGATTGACATGACTGGACTTTGATGCATGTTAAACTTCTATAGCTTCCCCTGAAGACTGTATTTTACCATACAATTATAATGGCACCATTAAAAGTGCTGCTTTTGTTTACTCATCAATTTATAGTCAGAGATATGCTTTTATTTCATTTCAGGCTCTTCAGCAGTCTTCTGTGCAGAATCTGGACCAGAAGTTAACCTCCATGTTGTTAAAGCACATGCCCAACGGAGGGTTTCAGGGACTGCAGTGTGAAAACACACCCCAGAGAGGTATACAACTGGAGGATTGTGGACTGACATTGAACAAAACAACATATGATTTGCATACATATGCAAAGATACTATCTCAAACTTTTGGGAAAAGTGCCAAGCATGCATCATTTGCAGTATGAATGGATATACAGTAAGGTATAATCCCCCAAAATGTACTTACACAGTCCCTAACTGGGATGAAAACACTAATTGCAGATCTACCCGTGAGTAACAGGTGATGATTACTTGAAAGTATGGCTTTGGCATCATTGATATAAAAGCCTCGAGACAACAGATGTTAATTCACTCCTTTCCCGGAGCATGTGTTTATGCAACAATGTGTAATGAACGTAATTCTCACAGTTGAAATGCCTCACTTTTGCATGACGCACATTATCCACCATTAAAGGAAAGCCTTCCATCATTTATTGGCTCATTATGTGGCAGATTGATGGCTTCATCAGCTCCTGAGATTGATCCTCAACTGCTGCAAAGGGGTCAATAAGTGCCTCCGAGCTGTCTTCCACTCTCATGATTGTGTGAAATCGTTCCCATTAGGTCAACTTCAAGATAGCACATGTAAAGGAAGTTGAAAGGGAATATTATGTATCGATTGTGAATAAAAAAAAAGTGTTTTTCTCATCAGAGCTCCACCATTCAGATGTCCCATCACTTCTCCACTTTGCTGCCCAGTATGGCTTCAGGAGCGTGTCCAGCGTGCTCCTGCAGTGTCCCGGTGCAGAGCGAGCGCTGCACACCGCCAACCGCCACGGACACACTCCCACTGAGATAGCCAAGAGACACGGCCATACCCAGCTTCACGTCCTTTTGAAGGAAAGGCTGGTAACTATTCATTCATTTCCTTCACCTTGCTCGAGTAGTTATTGCTAATCTTGTATCAGCTTCATTGACCTCATGTACAATGAAGACATTTCTCAAAATGTCAATATCCGATGACAGCTTCTCATGGTGCTTTATGAGCCAATTCAATCCACACAGAGGCATCGTTTATATCGAGCCAGCAGTATTTAATGTCACCTGAATGGAATTCCATAGTTTCCAAATACCTGCAGACAGCTGTGGTAAATAGCACAATGCACCTCAGCTGCTGGGATCAGGGGATGTAGTGCAGCACTCAGGAATGCACTCACTAACACCAATACAGCGTACAGAGGACTATGAGTGAGTGGTGCTTTATCAATAATGAACAGAATGGAGAGGAAAGAAAGGAGGAAAGCAGGGAGTGACCTGTATTTCAGGGGCGACCTCACTCCCTAACTAGCGGCTTTACATTCAGCTCATGGCTCTCTTCCTGTGCGCTTGGCCTGTGAGGTTCCTAATGGAACACCCCCACAGAGAGTAGAAAGGTTGTGTTTGTTCATGCATGCACAATGGCTCCGAGCGCAGGTTGTCTGCATACATTCAGACAATTAATGCAGCCACTAATGTTGGGTTGTTCTGGCGTAATGGCTGCCATTTCCCCGTGTTAATATGAAGAGCCTCTCCCTGCTCAACCTCCCACTTCACTAAAACACAACATCACGTTTGCTGCAATCCTAATTTAATAGATCCATTGCATGCATGCACATCCCTTTATTTGATCAATCTGGAGGACACTAGGATCATAATGTTTTTCCCAGTGCTAATTTCATTAGGCGGTGAGGACATTATCGTTAAAGGAAGACATGATGACAAGAAGGCAGGATGAAAACACATTACATCCAACAAGGAGGGAATATTTGTATTGCCGTTTGTTTGTCAGAAAGATTACGGAAGAGCTACTGGTTAGATTTTCTTGATGGAAGGGTGTAGCATCGGCCAATGAAGAACCCATTTGAAAGTAGAGGAGGATGTAATCATAATGCAGATAAACTAGTTATTTATCTCTCACAAAAACAGCCTTTGAATGACCTTTAGGTTTATTGATGTGTCGTGCAATTACTTAACCAAACATAGATGCACATAATACATTTGTATATAGAACATTACTGACTGAGTTCAAACAGCTATCCTTTTAATGTGAGCACAAACGATTCCAGTTAGCTGCATTGTTCAATCCCCTACATATCACTGTGTAACAGACAGCGAGATAATCGGCGTTCATTCATATGAAAATCTGCTCTCATCTCCCGTCTTCCCTTATAATGCTGACAACTTTTAACTTTCTCTGATGGCTGGGATCAACCCATAGAGAGTTCCCCCTTGAGGGGAATTTCGACACTCCAGCAGCTGTTCCAAACATATTTATCCCTAGCAACGCGGCTAATTGAGAGTGACTGCAGATGGAGCTAGGTTTGATCAGATTGCTCTAGTGAGTTGCGGTGCTCGGCGAGTCTGCAGCGAGTCGGATCAGCTGACAGGGGAGCAGTGATGTCAAACCGAGGCCTCCCCACAGGGACCCCCACACGCCTATAGATGCGACATAACTTACAAAATCGACATGCACAAGCAATTGACATTTACAATTTCCTTTGGAGGGTAATTAAAATGCATCTTAACAGATAAAACGACATGCATGTTGCTACAGAGGAAGTGTAAGAGGGGTTTTGTTTTCTTTGTTTTTTTTGCACAGCAGTTTCATTAACTGATCTTTACTGTTACCCCCAACCCAATTAATCAACCCATGATGCATCAGTGATTTGGAAGTCAGTGTGGAAGCACTTTGTCAATAAATCCTAGATGGATGGGTCCCTAGCTTCATAGACGGGCTGAATCACTCACTGGGCCTGCGTCAGATCCACTACTCTGCCCTGGCACCACTTCTTTGTTAATTAGCTGTGAACTGCTCCAGATGGGAGAGATTAATTATTCAGGGTGAGCATAACTAGAATATAAATATAGAAAATGCTCCGCTGTTATTGACGATGTTCATGTCCTCAAAATGCCTAGTTACAAATCTTTATTAGTAACACAAACACACATTGACCTCATTTAATATTTTAACAGAGGGTCACAAATTTGGCTGAGTGTCACTTGGTATTAAGATGGACTCAGCGCTCCGACTAAGATTCCACTGTGTGCTCAGATAGAGCCGAGCAGGCCTCGATAAATAAATACAAATGACTGTATGGTCCTCTGAAGACTACACAGAGCCTTTCATGTGCTGCATGTAGTGCTCGTGTACACTCCTATCCAAATTCAAGAGAGACAAATATGGCGACACCCTGCACTTTGACTCCACAGACCTTTTTGCATTTTATGTTTGGTTAGTCAGAGACTGCTTAATCATTAAGCTTACTCCAGAGAGATGTTATCATTTGAATGATACAGTACTCCTCATTCTGCAAAGTTAACTGGTTCTCATCCCTCAGGTTGAAGGAAGCAGGACTCCTGAAAAATGTTCCTCTTTGAGTCAGTCTTTAGCCATGTTAAACTGCGACCATCATGGATTCCTACGATTCCTTTGAAGAATAATTGAGAATGCAGTTGGTTGAATAGTATTGTTTTTTTGCAGGACACAGGGTTTAGAATTTAGTCTGGCCCAGACTGAAATATCTTGACAACTATTGAATGGATTGCCATTCAAATGTTGCAAAGGCATTCTCCAGAAGATGAAGCAACTGACTTTAGTGATCTGACTTCTCATACGGCAACACAAGCTATACTTAAGCTAAATGCAGTGAAACACCTCATCTGGTCAATGCTAATTTGCAAAAGTTAGCATGTTAACATACTAAACTATAAGTCAGCATGGGTAACATTATACCAGCTGCAGATTTGTAGCATCCCCATTGTGAGCATATTAGCTCATACTGCAGTACCACTGTGTTTAAATGTTATGTACTATGGTTGAAAGAAAACTATAACCCTTCACAGAGAAAGGGATTGTTTCTTCTCCTGCTGAGCTGATTACTTTCTATTGTTCCCTGCCAATAAATAAGTCTGCACATTTGGTCTGCACATTATCAAAGTGATGGGTTCAGTGTTACCCTCTACAATCTGCCATGCATTAAACTCCGTTATCCTGAAACCATGATGTCAGGTCAGACCGCATGTTGAGGATTGACCATTTCAGCTGTTAGAAACCAGATTCAAAATCCTGATCTTTATACCAGGTTTGCGTGAGATTTGCTCTCAAAAACCTGCCTGCTGTTCCGTCTACAGCACTGCTGCTCGGTGAAACTGAATTTGTCTGGAATGCCTGAGGCTCCTGCAGCTTCAGACATCTGTAAAATGATTTAGCATTCGTGGTTAGTAAATAAATTCCCCTCCCCTGTCCAGATATTACCTCCAGAAATACCACACTATGCTGTAGCACAGCATACAACTAATATTAGTCAATGTTCACGCTGCGCCGGTAATCAACCCGTCCTTTCTACCTGTTGGGCCCATTATGAAGCGCCACTGTTAAGTATTCATGGCAACCAATAAGTGATTTGCAGTACTAGGAACATTGCAATATTGTAATTGAGTCATGAGTGGCTGTGTTGCTTGGAAACTGAACACGGAGCGTGGGGGTTATATATGGAGGATGTCAAGATCAAAGTGAGCTGTATTTCATATGTTCTGCAAATATTTATGTTATTAACTGGGATTTATTTCAAATTCAGACTTTAGCCATTCAAATTGATAATAGAAATGCAATCCTAAGGAGTTATCATATGCATTATGATAGAGGCTTTTGTAATCCATCTCGAGGTTAAATCTACAATCCATCCAGCTTTTTATTTTTTTTTAAAGATGTGACTCGGTTCCTTACATCTCGATCAGAAGTTGAAACATGGCAAGATATTGATATCCGTGTCTCAATCTAATTACAGATGCAGTCTAAATATCAAGCCAAGGGTCTGGGATTGCTCACTAAATGATATGTTTGGACTGAAAGGGGAAGAATGTCTGATTTGATAATTACCCTGATCATACCCCGTCTGTCCCTCAGCGTGCTATTAGCAAATAGGCCGACTGTGCAGCAGAGGGAAAGCTGCTCTCCGTTATCCAGCAGCAGGCAGCGTTACAGCACACCTCTCTCTTCCTGCGATAGTCCTGAAATTGCTTTTTCCAACAAGTGAAGTCCTAACAGATTCAGCGAGAAATTAATAGTCTGGACATTTGTCACCTCCGACATGAAAACACTGAATATTAAAGTGTGGCATGGAGGCAGATATCAGACCATACTGTGACGGAGCATAAAAAGCTTAGTGGATAGTCATCTTAGCTTTTTTTGTTTCATAATTGTGCCTTGGATGGAGGACACAGGTGAGAAAATGAGCTGACAGGAAGGATGAAGTGTGCACGCCAAGCACACATTAGGTCACACACAAGTCCTGAATGTATCGGGACTTGTCAAACATGAATACTGAGAAAAGGACAATCCACTCTAACATAGTAAACACCCAGCTTTAACATTAACATATCTTTCCTTGAATTCTAAATCTCCTCTATTGAGCTTCTCCTTTGTGATTTGGACGGAGAATAAAACCAGTCTCTTCATGCTCTTCTTGTTGTTGCAGAATATGTTCAGCTCAGGCGAGGACAATGGTGATGCCAGTGTGTACGAAATGATGTGCGCTGCAGGTGAGTGAGGGACTGATGGGAAGTGGAAGGAGGACAAAGGGAAAGCCGGTAATGGAATTGTATTTTTTTTCCAGCACATCATTATGCTGTTGCTGTTCATTTCCGACCACTGAATATTTTCCCCTCGCTGATGGGCACAGCGTGTAGCGTTTGCTTCCGATTCGCTGTGAAATGAGCAACAAAAGCATCATGCAGAACTTGATCATGACAGGATAGTGCAGTGAACACTTTGTGTGTTATAGGGACTACTTCCAGCAAACATGCAGAGCCACCAGCAGAGGAGGGGGAGGAGGAAGATATCTATCAACCACTGGAGGTGGAGGATGAATATGACTCCATCCTGAACTCAACAAAAGCTGTGGTTATTGCCAATCGCCCACCAGCACCCACACCTCGGCCTGAGGGCACCCAGGTGAAGGAGGACGGCACTCCTTACATCACCAAAGGTAACTTATGGCTTGTTTTCTTGCATTCTGTTGCAGCCAATGATGTAATAATCGACTAAAATGTAATGAAGCACAATCATAATAGCCTGAACAATAGTGTAATAAAATGTCCTGACTGCAATGAAGTACTTTAGTAAAGTAAACCCTTTTCAAAAGCAGCAATTTCATGAGATCAGACAAGGCAAATAAGAAAGGGAAAAAAAAAGCCTTTAATGGATAATTAATCTACTGGATTGTGTTCTTCTGTGGCTTTTGTCCTCATCTGATCATCTGATCTAAGATGCACTCTGGTCTAATGGACCACTTTGCACATCGACCAATCAGCATCGGTTAGGGTGGGTTCATTTCCGATTAATATTGGTTTTAGTTGAATGCATCTTTGCCTGATAACGATGAGCCATTTGCCATCTGGTGTCAATTTAAAATTCTACATAAAGCCTGGATAGTATCAGTCTGTTTTGTTATTGTTTTACATTATCCATCAAAGTGAAAACATAATTGGTTTTGAAAAAGAAAGAGCCCATCTGAAAGGTATGACATTATCGATGTATTGGTTATTATTGGTTGTTACATTATTGGGTTTTATTACATTTTCAGGAAATGAATACGTTAATATTAGGTGCTGCACATCCTTTGCCAGTTTTTCCCCTCATCACAGACATGATGGAGCGGAGTAAAAACGACGCAGTAAGTGAAGGGGAGTTTGGGACATCATGTGGGAGGGATGAAGTGCCTGGAATGTGCATCGCCATCGTCAGTGGAGTGCTGCTGAATAAAGTGGAGATGCTTTTTGGGATGAAGTTTGTTTTTATCCCACATAAACCACAAGAACATGGTCGCTCGCTGCGCTGCAAAACAAACAAAAGTGAGAGAGAGACTCTGCATGGAGAGCCCACAGCCCCTAACTCATCAATTTCAGCTGCGTGAATATTTCATGAAGATGAAACATCCAAAAGTGACTGGTATTATTAAGCCCTATAAATCATTAAAAAGGGCTCTTTTTCTTCTTGCAAATGCACACGCACACAATACTGATTTTTCCCACATAATAATGCTACTCTCTCCCCACACTAACCATCACTTAAAACACACAGAAATGCAACAGGCGCCCTATGTCCATTATGAAGCTTTGTATTAAGCCTGTTATATCCAGTAAGCCATCCCTCTGCCCAATGGGGACCTACAAAGCAAAACAATTAATTGAGTGCACCACTGAAAACCCTGCATCCCAACCATCCCCTCAGCAACAGAGGCAACTACCGAGCTGCCATCTGCAACCAATCTTGGCCAGACCAAGGCCAAGTCAGCCAGAATAAGTCATTACATGTGTTTTCCATCGTCCTTGTCCCCAGAGCGCACGAGAAAAAGGAGAGGGATGCTGAGGTTTCCATCTATTGAGACAGCGGAGCTTCAAAACCACACAAGGATCACATTCTGCTCCTCACTCCCACTGCCGCAGTGAGAGATGTGAGGGGAGAGATGAGGCTCGGCGGAGGATTAGGAGAGGAGCCAGTTATTGGACACCACTGCTGCACAAGTGGAAATAATGAGGAGTTTTGCTTTTGTTCGCAGCAGTGTGTCCAGCTAAATGAGACTGAAATGATGTTGGAATAACTAGGCATGTAAACTACATGTAGACACAAGGCAAAGCTTCAGTCATGTGTCCTCAGCTGTACTACACTCACTGTTTCGGTCTGAATGGAGCCATAGAGCCAGGCTGGTATTACGAGCAAGCTGTGTTTAAACATGGAAGAGAGAGAGACGCTGTCATGGAGGAAATGCTCTGAGGTGGGATTATCTAGCAGGGTGTGGATGTTGAATTTCAATCCAGTGTTGGTCACACAGCCGCAGCTCCACCGCTCTGACAGCAACACAGAGTAGCCTTTCATTCTGAGTGCTCACTACCAAACCAAAGCATCATTCAGGGCGTCTAATTCAACCCAGAGCGGAGTGTGTACGTCTCTCTCTGAGAGGAACACAGATTTAAGCTCTGTGAACCCAAACCTGTCATTTCACAGATATTTAGATTCAATTATACTGCATCTCAAACACTAATAGGATGTTGTTTTCCTCCTGGATATTTGGCTTTTTGGCAATCAGTCGGTGTTTGTAAGTAAAGGGTATGACGCCATCTTGTGGAATAATTCTTGAAATGCAGAAGCACAAGCTTTGCAGGAATCTGTATAGCTTGGAATGTTTTCTGTGAGGTTGTTGACTGCTAAATTAGAAAAAACATATATGCATACTAACAGAGTTGGATATTTTACTTGAGTAACAGTAGTTAATACCACATTTCAAAAATACTCTGTTACAAGTTCAAGTCATTCAAAATCTATTTAAGTACAAAAGTATTTTTGCATCAAAATATACTTAATAATAATGTTACTTGTCACCACTGCATCCTAAATAAATGTTGTATAATGTTACGTCTGCTTTGTATTCACAGTGTTCCAGAAGAAGAAGCAACAGGGAGAAACTGATCTGTACTCACTTCCCACTAAACAAGGTGATCTCAATGATATAAGGTTCATCATTTAAAGTCACAATTAAAGCGTCACTCTAGGAATTTAGTATTACACAACCAATAAGTTGTAAAAACTAACAAAAAAACTGATTACAGAAGAATGATCAATATCAGAGCAGCTGACCTACAGTATTAACACGGTATCAAGACACTGACACATTTCTGTTACAGCAGCAAACAGGAAATAGGGTGGGCTACTGTGAGACATGCAAAACTCTGGGGGCATTAGGATAAACGTTCCTTTAAACCACTTAAAAAGCTACTATTTTCAGACTTCAGTTTCAAAATTCATATTATGAACTTATATAACCTCTCGGTTAGGGGAAGTACGGGGGTCTGGCTTTACCATTTATACAGAAAGACCCAAAAGATTGATGAGCTAAATAAGAGAAAACCGCCTCGCATTCATATGCCTCCACAAAGCAGTCAGGTTGCAGTCAACATTTATGTGTGTCCCAAAAAATCCTCATTTCATTATTTTAACATGGCAAACCGTGACATTTGTGCCAAATTTGAAAGAAATCCTTCTAAAATCTATCTGAGGACATCACGTCAAAGAGAAGGGGACGCATGTAAAACCTACAAACACAAAGCATCACAACACAAGGTTAACTCTCAGCTACAGGAGGCAATTTCCATATTTTCTGCTCGCAACTGTGTCTTTATTTCCCCTTTCTTGACAGAATTTGCATTACGACTTTGAGACTGTAAATGTTTTACTCATGACAGCAGGACTTTTACTGTGCCAGTGATTTTTGCTGCCTTGTCTGTAACTGTTTGATTACCTGCTGGAATTACCTGCTGGGTGGTAGAACTTAATGCTTACCTTCCTAGATAATTACTGGTGCGTTAAAATTGTAGTGATTACCATGAAGAAAAAAAGTCATCGCGGCAGTAATGGGCACAGAAACCCAAATGCAAGAAAGCAAGGTAGCACATTTGAACAAGCCAAGAAGATGAGAAATAAATCCGAAGTGTGAAAGAACGTCTACAGAGATATAACGGTATTTTTCTGCTCCTCTGTCGCTGACACTGAGTGACAGATCTAAAGATCATCACAGTCACCCAGAACATTACTAACCATCTTCACGACTCACTGGCAGTACAGATGTGCAGAGCAGAATCACATTACCAACAAATCCCCTGTATGAATGCCATCTGGAGTGGCTTTATTCTCCGTCTTGTCTTATATCTGTCACTGGAATTAACAGTTTAATTTATGCCATTATGTATCAAATCCAGTGTGTTAACCACTGATTTTTCTCCACCTTTTGCTCAGAATTTGGATGTTTTTTCCAGACGTTTTGATTGAGTTGTTTGTTGCAGCACGTGGGCGAGAGGACAGCATCTCTGCCACCGATGATACGTTCGTGCCGAAGCAGATGAGCGGTCTGCAGACCCTCATCGAGCTGCAGCAGAGTGTGAAGGGGGGGCACTCACCGTGGACGCAGCTCTGGAGCGCTTAAGCGACTGGCAGCGGGATCAGAAGGGCGGGGAGGAGGTGCAGCAGGTGGGACCATCACACACTGCCATCACTCACACACACACACACACACACACACACTGGAACAAATAAGCATGCAGAAATCAAACTGAATAATAAAACTGTAACCATGTGTGCTCATGATACGCCGTCCTGCAAAACAGAGACTGACACTTTGGCTCTAAAAAAAAGGGTAGAAATTGTAGCCTACTGTTAGCAGACACTATAAACATTACATTGCTAAAACATACATTAAATTCAGTGTTGTTGTGTGTGTCACATGGCAGGGGGAATAGGCATCTCTTTGCAGAACTGGTCATATTGTCTCTGTGTATCAAGTAATACAGGTTTAAATGATATGAGCTAATTTGAGCTCTCTATAAATAGATACAAAAAGCTAAATAATGCAGAGAATGTTGCAAGTGACCAAGTAAATGCAGGAGTCTATATACATGTAAATAGAATGAGATATATACAACATAATGTAATATTGTACAGTAAAAAAAACACTGTTTATTGTAGTGATAACTATTTTGAATAGCAAAACATACTCAAAACAGTGAGTAAAACAATTTACCACTTACCACTTCATCCATATCCAAATCCAGCCACATTGTAGAGTTGATTTACATACTTTTAAGTAGTAAAGTTGAGATTAAAAGGTTATATTAGCACTCTTTTAAACAACCTAAACTAAATGAAAACGAGCTAGTGTTGACACCGAGAAGCTAATCATGCTAATGAGGGACAGGTGTGTAGGCAGGCGGTGATTAGGGGAACTGGGGACCCCTGCTGGCTGGGAGGGGGAAGGACAGGAGTTAGAACTGAAACACAGCAATCACCATCACACAAGACTTATGTGTACTGTATGTGGATGTGTCTTAAAAAACACCGTATAGGAAAAATACAGAGGTAAATAATCAAAGTCAATAGTAGTATAGTAGTAATACGCAGGTGCAAAATTCTAGTTTTATTTTGTTGACATATTAGAATCAAAGGTTTTTACAGAAGGGATTTGGAATTTTTGTTTGGAACTACATAAATCAGAAAAAACTGCTAAATAATAAGCATAATTTTGGCATGTATGTGTAACATTCCATATACACACTACAGGTGAACAGTGTTCAGTGTTTTAACAAATATAAGACACTGTAAAACCTACCAAGGTGATAACTTACATTAGACAATAATATTTAGTTTTACAAGATTTAAGAAATGTTATGTTTAAATATGTAAATGATGCAAATGCTAAGTTTTTGGGTGAATTTAGTAAAAATATACAGGCATAAATACACAAACCAAGTTCCAAAATAGCCTAATTTGTAACCAGAGCATAAACAGACAATGCTTTAAGGAAAAAAATGGTAAAATAAATGGATGTTTCCTGTTTCCTGCAGGAGAAGTTGAATCAGCTGAGAGCCAGTATCGTCAGCAGTAGAGAGGCTGATGACAGTGTCTACGGTAAATATTCCTCCATCCTTCACATGAGGGTTAAACTTTGCTGTCATCACAGAAAGCTTTCCTGGAACTTCAACTTTAAAAAAAAAATATTATGCAGTGCAGTTAAAGTTGGAGCCTTACAAATGACTGTAATAACCTGTATACTGTAAATGGCTGAGGAACTCTTCTCTCCCCGCAGATAAAATCAACATCGTTCATCACACGCCAAGTGAGTCTTTCAAATCCTATCGAGTGTGTACAGAGAAAACCTGTGTTTGCATGCCTTTGTAGTTTCCCCAGTCGCAGTCGCAGTAGTGGGGAATTAATCCTCAGGGAAGTGTTATTTAATCGAATCCCCAGTGCCTCGCTTTGATCGAGTGAGCTTCACTTACACTAAACGGGACTCTTTTATTTTTCTTTTACTGCACAATCCTCTGTTCAGCTGTGCATGTTGGATGATTTCCCTGCAGGTGTTACAGAGAGTGAAAGTCGAAGGGGAAGCCAAGAAGTGAAGTCTAATGTTTACAGCAAGCCACTTAAAGGACAGCATGTGAGTCACCTGCCAAAGGAAAAGCCTGGCAGAAGTTTGTATTAATATAAAGTTTACATGATACTGGATATTATTAGAGTTGAAACAGACATGCAGTTTCAGTAAACAAACATAAATGCCTAACAGGAAGTTTCCCTCTGAATTGTTTTGCAGTCAAATTCCTTTTCAAAAGCTGACAAACGATGAAGGTAGGGCTGAAAACAATGTCTCCTATAAATCATTTCTAAAGAAGTGCAATTTTCTTTTTCATTCAAGCTCATAATTTGTCACATTTTCCATATTCACAGGCTCCAACATTCCACAAAGACTCCATTTTGCCACCAGATTGAATTCATTTGAATACATAGTTTGTCATGTTAATTGTATAATTAACAAAGATTTATATTTCTATCTTTTTATAATTTGTTTTCTCCTGCTTGTTTGGCCGCTATTGCTTCTTTTAAAACACAATGGAAGGTAATTGTGGTTTAGGTAAAAGTTATTACATATATGCTGAAATATACAATTTGTGTTAGAAACTGGGATGGACATTTATGACTCCCAGAAAATGATGAATGGATAATGAAATAAATATTTAGCATTAGTGTCATGTTAGCTTTTTTTTAAATAAATGCATGTCATTCAAGTTTTTTATGTCAACATCTACTATGAATCACAATCTGAATTTAAGATTATATTGTATAAATGTCATCTTGGAAATAATTAAGCTTCCATTTGTTACACTTTATGATGATGAATCTTTCCTACAAAAAATATTTGAATTTGCATTAAAAAAATGATTGGCAAGTAAAATACTGTTTCATGGGTCTGTGTTGCGGGGAAAGGGATACCATTTTCCTAGCAAGCTTTTTCAAAAACTCCTTCACAGCTTTGCCTCTAGAGGACGCTGTATCTCTAAAAAATATCCTCACACTCACTGTGTGAAGAAGCCAAAGACATCTGGCTCAGAAGCACCTGCTGACCTCCTGATGGCTGGGAGGCAAGCTTTGGCTAAAAAAATGTATCTGGACATGTATATGAATGTAAAGGGAACATAAAATACTCATGCAGCAGGTGAGAACATCAGGGCAGTTATTCTCACTGTGCCGGGCTGCAAACAGGACACATGTTTAATCCTGCTTTGCATCAGCCAAGACCTGCCAAATTGAAACCACAAATACTTTTTATGTTATTAAAATAAAAACTATTATAACTCGGCACACTGGGATAAATAGCACTGTCCATAGAGGGGTGTTGTAACAGCAAGTGAGTGCAAAATGAAAGGTCAAAGGTTTCATTTTCCTGGGAAACTCATTGTGTTCAGCTGCCACAGTGCAGGCATCTGTGTGTGACAAACAGCTTTACACTCATTTCATAAATAAAGCTTGAAAAGGCCTTTTTAAATCACATCCATTGAATCTCTGAATTATAAACATTTCCTGTATATACTTGTCAAAATCAGAATTTGCTGTGATTTACAAAACTATTCAGAAATGGGCACAAATGCACACAGTCTGTCTCACACACACACAGATAGCAGTGTGTTGGTACAGCCCGGCCTGAGCCCGAATGAATGAATAAGAGCTGCATGGGGAATTCAGTGAATGCATGGCCAAATCCAAGCTCAGTCTTGAAACCCAGTTAGAGGCTGAGCTGTGTGCCAACAAAGCAGCTGGGTACACGGCGGGCACATTTTTCTGTTCAATCATGCTCTTTGTGAATAATATGTATTTGCCGCTCCTACTTAGACCTGCCAGTTAGCCTTTGGAGATGATCCGGCTTCAGGACCCCGTGGCATTTGAGGCATATGTTTGCCTGTCACCTGCTGACTATATTTCAGTCTGAGCGTCAGGCATGGCCACCGAGATAGGCCTCCATTCATCTTATACACAAACATGTGAGCGGTGCAGAGAGACAACAGATAGAGCTTCAGTGGCATGTGTCGCCCACACCAAACATGCTTCTGAATGTGGGCAGCGCCACATCAAAGAGCAGGGATCAAAGATCCTCTGTTCCTCAAAACCCTGCACTGAATATCCATATCCACACTCCGGTCATGATGTATTATGGGGGACCAAACGGACTCTTTCTATCCTGGAAATGTAATGTAATGCCTGTTTTCAGTAGTGAAAAGTAACATTTATTCAAGTAATGTGTATTGTAAGATGTTAAGGTTTTAAGCATTTTGCTTCTTATTTTTTTTTTTATGTCGTGAGACTTTTTACAGTTACACTTCCATTGCATTTCACAACTTAAATAAATCTCAAATTTTTTGTTAAAAGACAATGTGAACGGTGTGTTTAAAACTTGTTCTTCAGTTAACTTTGGATGCTTTAATGCTGTATGCATAAAAGGTGTTTTATATCCTAAATAAGAGATTGTAATACTTTAATTTGTTTATGAATCTGTGTGGACGACTTGGTTGAGTGATAATTACATTTTTTTATTAAATTTGAACTTAAACTTAATTATATTTGATTTAAAGCGGGATCTGAACGCAGTGAGAAAAGCTGTTAACTTAATATTGACATCAGCTTTATCAGCATATACAGTAATGTTAAAATGGCAAAACATGTTATAAAGGAATTACCCAAATGTAACATTAGAATATAGAGTCCTGTTAGCCAGACGAAAGTATTTACAACATTCCCTCTTCTTTTAGATTTGTATTTTTAGTATCGACTGTCTGTCATATATTTGGGTATCATAAGTTTCTGATTGTGATTATCAGAGCCAAAAATGTGCTAAAAGATTTAAAAACACACCGTAATATTGTTTTTGTAGGTTTGTCACTATCAACAAACTCTTTTATATTTCACATTTGATAAATATGAAACGTTGATAGGTACACCTTTAAGTTTCCTTCAGCAGTGAATGGAAATGTGGCATCAAAAATGCTCCCAGTTGGATTTCCTCTTCCTCTCTATCCCAGCAGCAGGCTTGGTCAGATAGTGGAGAAACAGGATTATACAGTCAACGCATCAATAATATTGTTATGACACAGTTCTTAACCATCGATGGCCTCGACCAATTGAAACATGAAAAGCCGAGCTGTCTCCTCTCTCATCTGCTGAACTCTTGCTGCATGCACGCCGCTGCAAACACACTCACGAGAGTACACAAACACTGGGATAACTTATCAGGGCTAACTAGTCTACGGAAGGAGCATGCATACACACCACCATTCAGAACTTCCCCATTATACACCGGCATGCATGAAACACACACACACACACACACACACACACACACACACACACACACACACACACACACACACACACACACACACACACACACACACACACACACACACACACACACACACACACACACACACACACACACACAACACACACACACACACACACACACACACACACACACACACACACACACACACACACACACACACACACACACACACACACACACACACACACACACACCACACACACACACACACACACACACACACACACACACACACACACACACACACACACACACACACACACACACACACTTTCCGTGGGGGTCGGTCCTCTCCCGGCCCCGGGATTAGGGCAGAGGATTGTGCACAGCTGCTCCCCAACATCCCCGATAAAAATCAGGCAATTTCACAGTCGGTGGCATTCTTTCATCCCCTAATCCACACCCTGCATACAGTAGAGATGAGCCTCGCTGCGATGAGAACAAGCTGTTCTGAACTGACCCCATCCCCCCACTGCGGTCAGTGTGGACACCTTCGATTGGCTGTGGAGGCATCGAGCAAGAAAGGAGAGTGCGGTCCAATGCGACATATTGACCTTCACTTCCTGTCTAAGCCACTAATTAGATGATTACAGTGAAAAACTGGTCTTGACTTTAATTAAATGTTTTATGTCAACAAATGGCACATAATTGTATTAGGTTAGTTGAAAGCAATTATTTTAAGTTTAAATATAAATAGATATTTGTTTCAACTTAATACTTTCATCTAACCTAACACAGTTTTGTGAATTTTGTTGACATAATAAATGTATTTAAATTCAACGTGTCAGTTTTTCCAGTGTATGTGTCCAACAACAGCCATTAGTCTGGCAAGGATTACAGCTCATGCAGAAGTAAAATAAGAGAAAAAAAATGCTGTCTGCCTTCAGGCCCGTTTTAGACCAATAACCTTTGTTTAACATGGTTTCCTTAAACATTTGGAAGGGGCTACTCTACTCTTTTTCTCTCATTTAGAACTCCAGGATCGGGCCTTCCAAAATATGGCTTCTGGTGTCCGATATTAGGGAAGTGTACGGACAAGGAGTATAGCTAATGCCTGTATGGGCACCAAGTAAAATAGGAAGACACTGTGACTGCCTTTAGGTCCATTTTTTGGATGGAAATTATTGATTTGACATGGTTTGTTCAACCAAACAGGTTAAAAAAATAAGAAAAATAATTGTTTCCTTTAATAAAAGTCTTGCCTCACTCATCACTGCGCATTATCAAAATGAAGCATTTAGAGTCAGTTTATAGGAAAGTGTACACACATATCCCTCTTCATCCGAGAAATGGGAAACTCTGGACTGATACAAGTCAGTGTAATTAAGCTCAGACATTTTAAGGGACATAAAACTTTTTTTACTTTAAATGTAAAGACTCATGATCAATTAATGCACAGCCAAAAGTTTAAACTACTTCAAGAAGTGTGCAATCTTATTAAGCCTAGAAGCCCAGAGAGGAGCAGAAATCGTTTGCAGAGGCTTAATGCTTTTCCTTAGTCATTGCAGCCCATTACTCTTCATAGTTTTCCCCCTTCTCAAGTCATTCACTCTGCCCATTTTGTTCTGACCCCGACCTCCATTCACAGAGTAATTCTTCACCGAAGTTCAAACAGGGGACAAAAAGGTACTTCACAGCAAAAAAAAAGAGAAGAGGGAGAAAAAAAAAAAGTATGAATCAAAAGGCAAGGAAATGGAATTCACTGTACAAACGTCGGGGGAATTTCAATGTCCGCTGAGGCACAGTGGAGCTCTGTTTGGAGCTCGCAGGCTGTGGGTGAAAAGAGCAGCAGCCACAGCAGGGTACATCTATTCTGACAAGTCTTACACACTCTGAAAACCCGAGCAGGCTCTGTTTGTTTTAGAGGCCAGCGGAAGGATGCTGAAGCTTTAACGCGATAACAGGATCATTTTATGGTTTTGCTTCTTGAAGAGGCGAAGGTAATGGAATAAAATGTTTCCTGTTTTCTGTTCGAGGCATTAACAGTTCAGTAAACTTGTTTTTGATTTAAAACCATTCAGCGTTGAAAAACATATTAGACAAACATTTTTATAGAGTAGATGTGAACAGAAAATAGGAGTGAACCTCTGTTCACATCCTGGAGGTAATATGTTATATTTTAAATCACAGTTTCTGGTGATAATTGACTGATAGCACAGAATTGCTGTCCTCTCTCTTCTTCTATTTCCGATTAATGCCGATAGTCTCAAAAAGGGCAGAATCTTGCCTATATATCACTCATTCAATCGCTTTGAAATGATTCTTGTATGAAGATAATATTAACAATGTGATTCTATGTTTGATATTTGAGTTGAAACTCAGACTTTCCGTAACCTCCTCGACAAAGGTCAACGGTCAGGGTTAGATCCACAACTGCACCCATGGTAGGAAACTGCTTTTATGAATAAAAAGATTACACTAGTATGATTTTATTGATCATCAAACCAGGAGAATCGTAGGTTTATGTGATTAATTATACATTTTAAAATAAAGCTTTTGAACCATGCTGGTTATTAATAACCCTTTCCTCCCGTCATTTTTTACTTCTGTGCATTGCG